AAAATATATCTAATTAAAAGATATTTTCGGTGAAAATATATCTAAAAATCAATATAAATTAAATTATTTAAAAATTCATCTCTTTGTTTCTTTCCCTCACATTAAGGTACAAAATATAAATTTTACAACAAATTTTATTTATATATATGTATGTATTAAACCGTATGTATTAAACACAATGAATAAGATGGGTCAATGCAACAATGATTATACGGTCCTGTTTCAATCATGGGGAGTTGCGTTGAATCCGGAAAGTAACGGCACGCAGTTTAGTCGAAGCTAGGATACGTATGTAAAATCACATAATAAAATTGCACCAACATCCTGATATAATCGTTGCATTGGCCCATCTTATTCATTGTAATTTCTTTATTTAATTTGCAAGGAATTAAACAGTTTTCAAGTCTCTTCTTTATTAAAATAGACATTAATCTTACCAGTCCATTCATAAATTATAAGAGATCTTATATATACATATATTAATGCTGAATTTCTATTTTAAAAGAAATAAGTTTTCTTTTCCATATAAAAAAAATATAATAAAAGTAAAATATTTAAAAGATTTACTTTTATATTGGTTCTTCCCGATCTCTTTTAATGTAATTTAACTCTCGAAGCTTAGAACGGCGTTGGAATTTCTTTCTATCGCGGTGCAAAGCCATCCCTGTGCAATCTCGCCAGTAACACTCCGGGAAAATTTTCCGTCATAAATATTTCAAACGGCGTCGTTTCGACCCCGGTAAGGCCCGGGCGTCGTTTCGCGGACGGGCGACGACGTTCTTCGACGTGACTTCCGAAATTTCGTCCGGAACGGTGTATTCTCGGCGCCCGCCATCGGGAAACGCGGCCACGCGTGACACGTGTCGCGCGCACGTACGCTCGTCAACTGCCGGATAAAACCATTTGTCAAATTCAGCTCCGCCGTGAACGAGGAAGGCTCGCTCGAATTTCTTTGACGCGTCGCAGAAGGAATAAGCAGCTTGCCCGGACCCGGAAGTGGCGTTCGATGACGCGCGAAATGATAGAAAGCGAAGAATCCTACGTGTAGCTTCTATACATGAACTTAAATAATCTTCTAAATTTAAATGAAATGATCTTTTAGAGGATGTCTCAATTCATTATCTTTTTTTTTCTTATTATCCAAGATACCTGTTACTAGTAATAATTAAAATATTTGCACGTTCTCTCGATATCGTAGCTCCTTTCTATATTTTGCACATGGAATTTTCATTGTATAAAGCCGCTTTGGCCTTTTCCAGGTTAAGCGAGATAGAAAACGGTGCGGCGCCGCCGGCGATTTTCGCAATTAGCGAGTTTAGCGTGTTGTACAAACGCGTTTTCGGTCGTTGCCCCCGTTTTCGGCGCAAATCAAACGGCGTTACCAGACACCCCACGTGTTATCTCAATATTTCCTCGTCGGGCCGGGGCCTATGCAATGCCTATGCCCGGGGATAATGCAAACATTGCCCTGGGAACAATCGCGGGAACATCTGTCCTCCTCGTAGTTTTCCTCGCGAAAAACCCACTTTTTGGGTTTAATTTATGCTAATTCGTGGAGATTAAAGTACGTGCAGCGCGTACTTTAATCTCTTTACTTTCTGCAATACAAAATATCGCAAGCAGCTTTAATAGGATACGCCATCATAAAAGGAAAATAAAAACAAGCTGTATTCATTTTGTTTACTTTGTTTAAAGATGTTAATGATATTACAGTTTTCATGTTAGGTCTTTAAGTTAAGCTTTTATTCTTGTTTTTCCTCCAAAATGTATTTACATGATTCATCAATTTATCTGCAAAATGTTTAACCGTTTTTATTTAATTCACACGTGATGATGAGAATAGTAAAAACCCTGCAAGAGGTGCGAGACAATGAATTCTAATGTAATCACTTTACAAACTTATATTTATTATGATATTAATTACAAATTTGTTTGTAATAAATGGATTGCATATGACAATAATAGGAAGTTCATATTAGTTAGCAAGAATGGAAGAGGTTCTTTCTGAAAGGATATAAAAACAATTTCGCCATTAATTTGAATTAATGCAAGAATTTACGATGCGTTTGTTTTATTATTTTAATTCTGCTGTTACTATGCGAGAAGAATGGTGACACAATGGTCACGATGAATAAGAACAATTGATCGAATATTTATATTGAGTCGCCATCGGAGGATGCTATATCTCGTGATGCATCGCGGGAATTGAGACACGAATCGAGAGGAAAATTCGTGGAAAAATTTTCGAGCTAGAGAAGAGTAAAAACACACACAGAGAGAGAGAGAGAGAGAGAGAGAGAGAGAGAGAGAGAAATAGTTACGAAGAGCTGTAAAATTTTCATTCTGCAATGCGTCTATTGAGAGTGAAAAAAGTGCGCAATTGGTAAAAATGTTTACACACTGTATGAAACAAGATTGCTGTTTTCTAAATAACTGTTAAGAATAAACAAAAAAAAAACGTATTTTTATTCTCATAGCTCTTATATTAGACCTTTTATTTAGCTTTATTTTTTTATAAGATCAAAGAGTTTCATATTATAAAGTAAAATGGAAAAAAGAATATTCATTATTATATTTCACTAATTTATTAATTTTAGATATTTTTGTTCTTCTTACTACTTTGTCTTATATGGTACAAAGTACGTTCTATAGTATTTTGACACTAAGGAAAGATCTTTGTGTTGTTTGAGCATATCTTTTTTTTGCAGACTGTTACTTTACTGCCCCCTAGTCCATTCTCTTTGTCAAACGGGCTTAGAACAAGTTGTTTATGGTGACATAGTCGTGACATATACGGAATGAGGGTTGAATCGAACTTGTTGACTACAAGGCAAGCACTTTCACTTGAAGCTGTACGCGCACGCGCGCGTCATCCTAGTTTTAAACATAATAATTATTTAAACTCGAGAACGCCTTCTACAAGGTTCGATTCTGGTGCCTAATAATATTTCTAGGTGAATTCTGTATCTATTTTTTAATTATATAAACTGCGTGTCGAATTAATGTCGGACTTGCAACGCAATCATAAACTGAAGCAGAATAGTGACATCACAATTAAATTGATCTGCAATTTTAATAAGATACGAATAATCATCTTTAAACACTACAGAACTTATTGTAAAAAATATTACCTCAATCAGGATTTGAACCTGGAGCATCCTAACTTTCCGGGACGAGCGTCTTTATCAATTTAATCACCGAGCGTGTGATAATATTTATGTATTAAAGGAGAATATCGACGATAAACGTGTATAAACAATAATTAATAATAAGTTGAATTAGGCTGTGCGTTGCGTAAGTGAATAACACAATTAAATTTGAAAGCGCTTTCCGGTCGGAACTGGATGCCTAAAAATATTTCTATAAGAATTCTAAGTTCATTTTTCAGCTATTTAAACTACGCGCCAAATTAATAATTAGTTTTACATATGACTAATTTTGAGGGAGTAACACGTAACTTCGTGTGAAAGAGATCGATTTTTTCACGTTCGAGCGATTTTCGTCCAGTGCCTTAGTTTTACAAATGAAAGAGAACCCATGTTTTATTTATATTTATAATATATTTATATTCACTAGTATCATCCTGTAATTTTAAGTTCACGATCATGATTTTTTCATTGCAGATGTCCTGACAGTGGGCCCCGGGCCACCAGGATGCCGACAGACGACGACTATGGCCGAAGAGATCGTCTCCTGTTGCACCAGCACCCGATCGCGCAGTACGGGTCCTCGTCATCCCCGCTTCCCGGATCGAGCGCGCCGAATTCCGGCGGCGTGGGGACCCAGATTGGTTCCAGCAATCCCAGTGATTGCTTTAAGCAGCAAGCACAGCAATCGTCCGACTTGCGTTCGGTCACGAGTACAGCAAGTCAGTCGGGTCAAGAGCGTCACCAGTCGGACCAGCAGACCCAAAGCAGCGAGCATGTCGGGACCCGAATGGTTGATCGGCACGAGAAATCCGCGGAGAAGTCTACGATCGACTTCTCCAAGTGCGGAGAGGGCCGTCCGTCGAATTGCGAGCGCTTTGGGCATTATCAGGCCCAAAGCGGCGAGCATGTGGGGGGGCGAATGGGGATTGAGCGGCATGAGAAGGCCGTGGACAAGTCTTGCATCGATTACTCGAAGTGCGGAGAGGATCGCCAGCCGAGTTGCGAGCGTTTCGGACATTATCAGGCCCAAAGCGGCGAGCACGTGGGGAGTCGGTTGGGGGCCGAGCGGCACGAGAAATCGTCCGACAAGTCATCGGTCGATTTCACCAAGTGCACCGCTGACGGTCGACAGTCGAGTTGCGAGCGTTTCGGGCATTATCAGACTTCGTCGTACGGTCAGTCCTCGTTGCAGGGGCACTACGGCGGCGCGCACGCCGGCGCTGATCGTTTCGCGCGATTCAACGACCTCAGCGCGTTGCACGGCGAGCAACGGGCCCCGAACGATCGTTACTCGGTCTGCAACCCGGAGCTACGCTTCGACACGACCGGCACGAGCGGGTCCGGCGAGTACGCGAACGCGAACGCGCTCGCGGGCTCTTTCGCTTCGGAGACGTTCCCATCGCCGCCGTCGCCAGCACCGGCGAACGACCGCTTCGTCCCACCACCGCCATTGTCGCCCAGTCCGAGCGAGAAGTACGCCTCGAGCCAGAGTCTGGCTGGTTACCCTTCTGCTGATCGCATTTTGCCCCCCAATTCTCCGGGGCCCAAGTACGGCGCCGATGGTGCCGCTGCAGCATCGTCGATGCCCGCCAAGGAGCGCTTTGCCTCCGCCGAACGGCTGCTGGCCAATCAGCAGTCAGCCACAGGCGACGCTAAGGATCAACAACGCTACTCTGGAACACCTGATCGCCTGCTCTCGGGATCCTCTCCGGTCCTGGGCGGACTTCAGGCTGGACTTCAAACGGGGCTCCAGGGCAGCGCGGTCTACGCCAAAGATACCCGCTACGCCGCCATTTCCGCGGACAGGATATTATCCGCCTCGCCGATACACGCTCCGGTGCCTGAAAGATTCGTTGGGAAGTCGGAAAGGTATTTGGGCGAGTCGCCCATTCACGATAGGTATCCACGACAGGATCCACCAGCGACAGCACATCATGAGCGGTATTCGACGATGGCGGCGGCCACCGAGAGGTGAGTTCAAGTCAGCTTAAATCGATTTTGAATAATAACTTCGCCAATTTGTTAATTACCGCAGCATTAAATCGTGTTTTTAAATATTAGATACATTAATTTGGATATTAAGTTTACATATAATGTCGAGCAATTGTTGCATTTGCTGCATAATTCGTAACTTTAAAAATTATGTATTATGCTCTATTTCTACTGCAGCTCCAAAGTACGCTTTACGTATATGTACACTCGATCCCTTCCATTCGGAATTTCTGCAGGTTCCTCTCGAATTCGCCTAATCCTGAGAGCACGCATCAGCGTTATTCATCGTCAGACCGCTCGTCACTTCAAACTTCCTCTAGTAGTACCGAGCAAAATCGACGTCTCTACACCGACAGAGGGGTCGAGACGGTTTGCCAGAAGTATACCGATCGGGCCATCGGCTCGCCAGCGTCCGCCGACTTCGGTCGGTACTCCGGTTTCCCGGAGGTCGGCAGTCAGACGCGATACGTGTCCAGCAACGACCGTTTCAACGACCTCGCTCTACAGCGTTGTAGTCAATCGCGGTCGATCGACAGGTTCTCCAGCGATCGATACTTGGCCGGATCGTCGCCGGCGCACGACGGTAGGCTGTCCAGTGCCGAGACGCCGCGCTACATCGTCTCCTCCACCGAACGTCTGCTGGCGCCGACATCCTCTTCGTCGTCCTCCTCATCAGAGACTGGTAAGCGTGCATCTTGTTTGTTTTTCCTGAGTAAAAGACAAAAAATGTGCTTCGATTTCTTTTTTTTTCACTAACATTCATATGCTTTCATGAGTTATTGATATTATATATACTCACTTAAACATTTAAGTGTTCCAATCTAATAACATGATCGTGTCTTGGCGCTAAAAAGAGTACGCGCGATTCTTGGCGTTGCCAAATGTTTTTATTCAATGTAACATTAAAAAATTATCAAAGTAACTTTGTTGTTACTTTTATATTATTTTCATTGCTTTCTTTATTTGGTTCAGCAGCGCCAAATGTTTTTTACATAAAAAATTGTTTCTTTAAATTAAATTTTTTTTCTCATTTTGTATAGTTACTTCTTTAATTCTTTGTAACAATACTTCAATTGAGTAAGGTAATGCAATTTTGTGATGTAATAATGTTTTAAAGAATTAAATAACTATTACAACATTGGATTGAAATAGGAAGAGTTGAATAGGTATAAAGATTACATATCACTTGGATTGAGTAAGGTAACACATTTGCAAAAAATTAAAGCTACTATTACTTGGAATAGAAAGACCCTTCAATGGAAATACAAAGATACATACCATTTAGGTTGTATTTTTTTTTAATCTTCACTTTTATAAAATTTTTTCATAAGATTAAAATATTTGGCGTCAATTATTGATTTCAAATCTTTTATACAAATAATATATCTTTTTTTTTGTACAAAGAGAGATACGTATCACTTATGCTTTATTTATTTTAATCTTCACTTTTGTAAAGTTTTTTTTTATAGAATTGTAATTCTCTCTCTTGGCGCCAATTATTGATATCAAATCTTTTATTTAAATAATACGTTATTTTCTCGATTATTCTTTGTACACAGATATGTACCACTTCTGTTTTATTTTTTTTAACCTTTACTTTTGTAAAATTTTTTTTATAAGATTGTAATTTGGCATCGGTTATTTATATCAAATTTTTTGGATAAATAATATATTATTTTTTTACATATCACTTACATTTTATTGGATCAAAATTGAAGATAGTACCACTTGGGTTTTATTTATTTTTAAATTCTGAAACTTTCATTCCGCAAAAACTTAATATCATTGTCCAAAAAAATTTTTAATACTAAGACTTTTTATTAGAACTAGCTATATTTAGAATTTTTTACTCAAATTCTTGTTGAACAATTTCTTGAAGTCATTTCAAGAATAATAATCAAAAATTTTTATAAATTAAAAAAATAAAAATACTTGATTATACAAATAACTATACAGTTTCCAATATAATTATAGAATTTCCTTTGTTTCAAATTCTACTAAATTTCGATAGTTCGATAATTTTTTCCCATGCTTCACAGCAAACCTTTATTCTTAGTTTTAATTGTTATCAGTACCAATTTTTGTTTCGAAACTCAGGCTCCAGATATCACTCGCCCTACACAACGACTACCGGCACCCAATCATCGGCCTCCAATGAGCGCTTTGCGTCAATCTCGCCGACGTCCGAAGCGTCGTCGAACGTTCACCGCGGCATTGGTAACGGCGGCTATCAGAACACGAAGAGCACCGTTGACAAGTATCTGGTCTCGAAGTCAGTTCAGAGCAGCTACGATCGCTACTCGGTCGGCAGTCAGAACGACCAGTTCAGCCAAGACCGATACTTCACCTCCGGCGGTAATGGCGACCGATTTCAGACTACTTCCGGAGCTGACCGCTTTCACGCTCCTTCTGATCGCTATTCGCCGGCACGCAGCGTCGCCGATAAATACCTGTCCCTGCCGAAGCCTAAGGACAGGTATACCGGTCGCATAACACCCATCTCTTGCGCCACCGCCGTCGCGACGTCCACCGATCGCACCTACGGCTCGTCCAACGTGAGCTACGTGCCCCCAACTGCGCACACCCCAGTAGAACGATATGTGCCCCAGCCGCCTCCCGAAGTGCTCTATCCAGATAGGTAAGAGTCAACGTGATAAGAAATTATATCTCGCAATACAGGATGAATCAGAGCACTCGTATCATTCTTTTTTTTCTTGGAAATGGATAATGGTTGAAAGTTGGGGAAAAAATTTTCATCCAGAGCTATAGAAATATCTAACGGTCGCATTTTCATTTTCCGAAAAGTAACTATCGGAAGTAAGATAAATCTGAGTCAAATCTGATATTTTAAATAGAAATGTAGGGATCTAGTAGGATATCGTTAGATTTTTAAAAAATAAACAACTTTTGTTTAAACTTTTTTGATATCACTTTGTGATAAAAAATATAAAAATAAGGCAATGTCACAGATTATGGATCATTTTTCCGCGTATCGAAAGTTATTTATTATTTCAACTTAAATTTAAGCTACTGAATACAAATCCAATGTAAAAATTGACAAATTCCAAATAGCGGATTCAATATAGCGGATATAAAAATTTAAAAGATGTTTAAAAATTGTATACGTGTGTGCGTGTGTGTGCGCGCGCACGCGTATGCGTGTGTTACAGGTTTTATTTTTTGTGTAAGCTTTAAATTGAAAATGGATCCTGCAGAATAAATAAAATTAGAAGTTATTTAAATTGCCAATGATTTAATTTACAGCTTTTCCGCAAAAGACCTCACATTTAATAATAAATAACTTATTAACTATAATGGACACAAAAAATTCCTTTTAAGGAATTGAAAGTTTTAATAACATATTTAATTTAGACTGCAAGAATACTTCTTCAGCCCCGTCGTATTTCGAAATTTCGAAGTTAACGTGATAAAATACGTGAAAATAGTCATTTTTTGGAACTTTACCTGCAAATTCAAAACTGTGATGATAGAACAATTCTACAATCGGATTTAGTGTCAAAAAAACTACGGAAAGTGATATATTTTAACTAGTTTTGTTATGGTATTTTTTTTTTGTTGAACTGTGTAATTATCAATGAATGGCAATTGTTTTTAATGCATAACCGTGCAATTTATGTCAAATCATTTCCAACGAAAATTATATATTTTCTAATAAAAACTCTCAAAATCTTGTCTTAATTTCTTATCCAGTAGTCTATTTCCGCACGAGCAGAACTTGAAAGCTTGATTTCTACGATTGTCCAGGTACGTGGATAGGTATGTGCCGCCCGGGGCGCACACGCCGACCGATCGATACGTGCCTACAAGCGATCCAGGTGATCCATACATGCGTCGCGACCTTGGCTTTCATCACCACTACCGGCTACCGCCGCCCGCCGGTTATCCGTACCAGTCGCACTTCCGGTTCCGCGGGTTCGCGTACGCTACGTCCGGTCGGCTGGGCGGGAGTCCTGGGTCCAGCAGCTCCAGCAGCACGACGTCCAATCAGCGCGAGACGTTCGCCACGTCGCCGTTGCTCAGGCCCAAAGTGCGTGCTTCCGCGGTCGAATTTGGCGCGACTACAGGCACTGCCGGCACCGTCGGCACCGTCGGCGCCGCAACGTCCACGACGACCGCCGGTGTCGGTGTCGGTCGTCACGTGTGCGCGAATCCAGCCGCCTGTTGCGGAGACGTGTCCGCCAACGGCAGAGCCTGCTGCCAGATGAGGAGGTCCCTGCCACCTGGCACACTACCGGCGATACCCACACAGACTTCGTCATGGTGAGTACTTACTCTGAGCACCGTAAATTCGTGAGACCGTTCAACATGCAAAAAAATGACTTAGCATTATCAGCTAAATATCAATAGGTAGTTCGAACTTTGCTGTCATTGCTAAAAGTTATCTATTAAAGATAAAATATATTTGTTGCAAGATACAATTTTATTAGCTAAAATAAAAGCGCATACTTTAACAGGAGTAGCTTATAAGAAAGTGACATACAAAAAGAATGATTTTGCCGAAAAACTTAAAAGTTTTGCTGGATATTCCTCAATAGAATTAGCTAAACGTTATTTGATTTTAGCAGCAAATATTTTTTGCTGTAGCGTCTAAATTTTAACAAATAATAAATTTAGCTTTGGCAGTAACGATATTAGCTGTCCCTATTTTAAAGACACACATTAGCTGCCACGGGTATATTTTAGCTGCGTTGGCCAATCCTTTCTCTGCGTGAACGAGATTCGAGAACGTACGAGGTCGTTGAATCTAAGTTTTATGGGAGATCTATATATAGGATTATATACATAGTTATGTAAATAGCATTGAGAATGTAGCTCTATACGTGCGCGAATGATTCCTGATAAGAAGTTTAATTACAGAATATAGAATGTGTGCGTTGTACATAAAATATCATATAGCTTCATATACTTAGAAAGCAAAATATTTGTCCTGCGACAGTAAGAAGAGACCTGTTTCGCCTCTAATGACAGCCGCGCGTTGATAAAATGACGTAGTAATTTCCGAAGCAATGTAAACTCTAATTTCTTCTCTTTTTTTTTGTTCCTGAAAAGCTCATGATATATCAAATCTCAAATAAGCGAGGGAGATTTCCTGCCGCCGATTAGCCGCAAATTTCAATGTAAATCGCGCGTATAATCGTCGGCAAAGGAAAGGATAAAAGAAATATTGATTACGGCGAGCTTAAGAACAGGCGAAAGCTGTAGCGTGTGTTGAGAGCTTGCGCGTGTATAACCCGGGGATTATGGGGGAAGCGCGCAGCGCTGCGGCGTTGAGGGGGGGAAGGGAGGGGTAAAATGGGATAGCTTCCGCAATGCACATGCTCGAGTAATAATGCGCCTGTATAATAAAGCTCACGAATTAGAATGGAAGAGGTCCCTAATTGAGGGATAAATGTTATTTATGGGGCCGATGGGGAGCCCGAGAGATTTTGGTTTAACACGGCGCTTTCTTCACCCCTCGTCGTTCTTCCGGATTTGACTGAAAACGGTTCTAATTCCTCCTTTCCCCTCCTCCCCCCTCCCCTCCTTCATGTTTCTCTTCTTTTCTCTCTCGAAATGTGTTATATTATCGAGGACGTTTTTTACTGGATTAATTGAAATAAAATAGTACGCATTAGCAGTTTGTAAGAACGCGCGGTAGGTACATTATTTTGTCTCACGTAGCAGAGATCGATCGGCGTAACAGCCGGCTTATCACTGCCAAAAGAGTTTTGGCGCATAACGTTCTCCATCATTGAGGATGCTTGAATGATCGTTGAAACGAGTTCGGTATGGAAGATAAAACGGACCCCGGTGATACTCCATTAACCTGATTGCCGCGACGAAAGTGTTGCATGACCTTTTCGAGATCTCTTGTCTTTTGCGCCGCGCCAAATGCAGATCTCGTGTCCTGAATCTCGATTTACGCTAAAAATTGCTGGTCTCTTTGAATCATAGCGGCCGTCCTGCGTCGGAAATAAAATCGCGGAATTGATAATCAATAATGGAATCGCCAGACGTAGAAACAAAGACCAGTGCAGGATATTTTTCGAGCACGTTTGAGTAAACCGACGCTGTGCTCGACAATAGAAAGATTCACAGAGTTTCTTGAAGTATTTGTTAAAAGTAAAATTCTCTACATTCTACAGTTGTGACAAATATGAAGAACATTAAAAAAAATCTCTGTTATAGAGCCTGGAATATTGCGATGTTTTAGATATTCCAGGCTCTATGAGCTATTGCGCGTTGGTTTACGTCGTTCAATTATGGATAAAATTAGCGGAACTCATAATGGGATCTACTTTAGAAGGCGGTAGGATCTGTTTTTTTAATCTTACAGCTTTTTCTTAAGTAAGATTATAATTCATTGTCTCAAAATATGACAGTTTCAGAGCCACGTCACTATAATGGCTTTCCGTCCTATGATAATGCCACTATTTAAAAATTTACAAATTTTTTAACGATTTGCTTACAAGAAGTTTTTAGGTTCGCTGAATTCAAATTTGATATGAAAAATTCAAAATGGCAGATCCAATATGGCGACATGACAAGGAAAAATAAATGAGAATTCGAAATAATAACAAAGAAATGAAATTAGCCCAATTTGCAACTAATGTAATGTATGTGTAATGTGTGTATAAAATTTTGAGAAATGTATAAAACAAAACGGTAAATCGAATAAGATGTGTACACTGCAATAGGAAAACGGTAAAATGCGAATGAGACTTATAAGTATATATAAATAAGGCGTAAGTTTTTATTTGCAAGTATATGTAATCACTGGTAACTATCTAACGGTTAATTCTAGTATTAGAAGTCCGACAGAATAGAGCCATTATATAGTGGCTTTTCTGTAAAGATTATAAGAAACAAAGAAAATGTAAAATTAATAATTCGGGTTTTTAAACAACTTATTATCCGCAACTAACATGACAATATTAATTAAAATTCGTAAAATTTTCGTGGAATTAATTAACAAGCGACGATCCCCTAACAGTTTTCGCAAAGTCGATCTTCATGGAGTTGGTCCACTTCTGCTTCTTCATTCAAATTTCATCCAAATTAATCCAGACTGGCTGCAGTACGATCTGCTCCGCGATGGCGAGGGCTGACGGACCGGCGGACGGGAGGGGGATAAATGAGCGGGGGAGAAACGGGGGGGGGGGCAGACGAATGACCCGGAAGTCGTAAGGGGTAGCATCCGGGCATTGTCTTGCACCGGTAACGACGATGTTCCACGAGCTGCTGGCAACTTCGGTAATTATGTCGTGCTCGTGAGTTTAACTGGCCCCGTCGCACGAAATTGCAATCTGACACCGGCCGTCGCCATGTCAGTTTCAATTAAGGATTTTATCCTCGCCCGCCTATAATTTCTGCGCTACCCTCTTGCTTTCCTGACCCTTAACAATTGCGGCGACAAAATTTCTCTAACGCGATCTCGCCCTTAATGCTGCACCGGAACATACTATTGCAATATTGAGCCGAATGTTGGGTTAAAGAATATTTCGGAAAATCATGAATTGAATCCTCTTCTGATCTAAAAATAATCACTGTGTTACAGCATATTCTATTTTTTGAAAATAATACGTTAAATTTTATATCAAAGAGATTGAAAATGTTGAAGCAAAATAAAAGAAAGGTAAATGTTTACCTTTACACAGTCAGCCCCAAATGACCTCCGACTGACCTTGATCTTGACCTAAGAAGTAATAATATTTTTTCTTATAATCTTATCTTTCAAAATTGACCCAATGAATATTACATTTTTCAAAAGTTCTAATTTTATGCGATTAAAATGAGATATAATATAAAATTAGATTATAATATAAAATTAGATTATAATAATAAAATAGTATTACAATGTTAATTAAATTATAATGATAAGTAAAATAGAAATGGTATGATTTTATTATTAATAGTGTAACTAAAATAGTATAACTAAATGTTGTAATAGTTAAAATATTGTTGTAACAACAAATTATAATAATAAAATTAGAACAGTACAATTATTATTAATGATAATTAAAATGTATAATTCAAATTATTATAATGGTAAAGTACTATTATAATGATAAATCAGAGTGGTAAAATTAGTAATAATTAGTAATTATACTATAAAATAATATAATTAAATTAATAATGGTAGACACATTTATTTCTTCTGTAAAAAGAAAATTATATGTACCTACATATTTAATTATCTATAGGTAAGCGTATTCAGAAATATTACATCTTTTTTCGAAATGATAAATATATTCATTAAATATTCTTTGATTTGTGTAGCGAATTGAAGCTAAAAAGATCGAATTATTCTTAATCTAGCTGATAGCTCTAATAATATAGTTCTTGTGTTACTTTTATTTCGAATCGAGGTAAATTTGTGAGTATTCAGAAACAAAAGTGCCATCGGCACGCTTGCCGGCGAGGTGTGAGAAGTGTGAGAACAAATCTATCTCGCAATGACCTTCGCAACTATGAGCAAACGTCCTTTTGAGGTTTCCTGCCTATTATCTATTCCATAAACGCGTTTTGACACGTTCGGGATGCAGAGGTAGTCACTTCCGGTTACATGAATCCGATCACGTTTGTATTGTCTAACAATAAGGTGACTTCAATGACAACCCAGTTCAGACTATATTATAGCATATCGACATGATCGATATAATGGTGTGCATTGTTTAATTACCAAATAAATATTACATATACTATAAATATAAATATTATATATAATAACATTACAACATGTAATGTTTTGTTATTTAAAAGTAAGCAATTCGAAAAGTAAGATAAATAACCTTTACAAAATAAATCCAGGAGAAGAAAACATTCTTGAGGATCTTTTATTATCTCTTAGGCTTCTTTCTTTAGAGTTCGCCCCATGTTTCCTTCGAACGAGCTTTACAAGCGGGAGTTGAAAATTAACCCTTCACTTTTTGTAAACTCGAGACAATTTGTTGTGTTCTTTGACAGCGACTATATTAAAATCGGAAATTCCGGTCCTAAATGGAAGTTTGGCGATTTGAGCATCTTAAGTATAAATAAATCAGAGAGGGAGGCGATAGAGCTCACAATTAAATTTATACAAATATACATACATATATGTATGTATATATTTACATATATCTTTAATATAACATATGTAAATATGTTCAAAGATCATAGAAATATAATCAAAGAAATAAATATTATTTTTTTTCTACGCGAAAAAAAATTATTTGAATGTTTTCACATCTCTCAAAAAAATTTATAAATTATATTTAAAAAACACAGTTACAATATTTTTT